GTTTGTCAGTGAGGGTGACCAGTGACCTCTCCGTCCCATGGCCTGGACAAAAGCCAAACTGGAAAGGGTCTAACATGGAAGTGTCATCCATAAAGCTCTGCAACTGAATCACCACCGCTCTGTCTAGTAATTTGCCCAAATAGAGCAAATTTGAGACCGGCTGGGAGTTAGCCAATTCGGCCGGGTCCAAGGATGATTTTTTTCAGGAGAGGATGGACCATCGCTTCCTTGAATGCTCCTGGGAACAGTCCCTCAGCGAGGGACTGGTTGATAATATCCCTGAGGGCACCTCGAAACCCCTCATGGCAAGCTTTTATAAGCCATAAGGGGCACGGGTCAAGGCTGCATGTGGTTGGGCGTACCGTTGAGAGCAGTCTGTCGACTTCCTCAAGGCTGAGTGGACTGAAATAATCCAGAATAGGACCAGAAGACATGCACGGGGCCTCGAGTTCGCTCACTGTCTCAACTGTGGTGGGGAGATTGCGGTGGAGGGACAAGACTTTATCTTGTCTTTGTTGACAGAAGAGGGAGGAGGGGGCCCCTTTGACCACCAAAAAAGCTATACTGAGGATTGTGGGACACATGTGAACAAAAGCCACATGGGGCAGGAGCTGCAGTGAGGAACTGGAAATGATGCTAGCATATAATCTGTAGTTTGCTGTGTGCGGTTCTATCCACTCCACTCACAAACTGTGTTAATAATGCTGATCATGGCTAGTCCAAATAAACTAATAGGATATGTGCAGATAGCACAGAAAATATAACACAAAACCACTTTTGTAAACTATGGTTGATTCTAGTCTCTGGATGCAGCCATATTACTTCTGTCATCTTTGATTTTCTAACAGATGTAATCAAGATGGAGAGCTGCTTAAGAAGGACCCCAGTCCACAGATCGTGCATGAAATTCCCTTTGGAAAAGTGTCAGTGAAGAGTATCCTTTTAGTTGAAGAGATCAAAGATAATATCACATTTTGCTGCCTAGCAATTAACAGCGAGGGAAATGATCCCAACTTCTACAAACCTCCAAGTAAAGGTGAGATAAATCAAAGCACTTTGTTGACAAAGTATTACCCTTTCAAGGACATCTTACTCAGTCTTCACTGCAGCTGCGCTTCGCTCTAAAATAATGAGCTTCCAGTGTGAAAAGGGATGCATACACATGAAACATTACTTAAGTAGTGGAGCCACACTGGGAGCCCACTCATTATGTTCTGGTCAGAGTTTGTCTCCATGATCAAGGTCACTGTAAATAATTCTGTAAGTTTTCAGGAGAAGTTACCCATGCACAGTCCTGATTGGATGGCTCCACTATTGTCATCAAGAAATTTTCCAATCCCAACATTTTAAAAAATATTTTTAAAACATTTATAATCTTATATTCTAATAGCAGAGTTGGAATATCTTTAGATACTTAAATTTGGTTATTGGAGCTGTGAATGGACAAGATAGATCTTTCTATAAACCTGATAAAGGCCCTGGGTTTGCAGGAATATGTGAAATCTAAAAATAAAATACACTGTGGGCAGCTTTAAAAATCTGAAAATAATAAAAGGAGCATCTGTAGCTTTAAGTAACAGATTTTCTCAGAGGCTGTTATTAGGCAACCACAGTGTTCCATGCTGGGTTCTGTCAGTAAAAGGCAGGGGGTGGGAGCAGGGCCCTTTCTAGGCCTGTTTTGGCTTTTGAAGGAGGACTCATTGTGGCCAGGTCTGGGCCTAGCGTTGCCAGCTCCAGGTTGCGAAATTCCTGGAGATTTTGTGGTGGAGTCTGAGGAGGGCAGGGAGGGAAGAGGCCTCAGCTGAATATATTGCCATAGAGTCCACCCTCCTAAGCAGTAATTTTCTTCAGGGGGACAGATCTCTGCTGTCTGGAGTTCAGTTGTAATTCAGGATATTTCCAGTCCCCGCCTGGAACCTGGAAACCCCAGGCCTGGGAGCAACCTCTGGATGACTTGGTACCACCCAGTTTGCATGACTGAACTAGGCTTGGCTTCTTGCTACTGTTCAGCAGCAGCCACCCTATGAAAGCCAATGTGGTGTAGTGGCTAGAGCTTCAGAGTAGGGTCTGCGAGACCCAGGTTCAAATCCCCATCTTGCTGTGAAAGCTGACTAGGTGATTTTGTACCAGTTTCAGCCTAACCTACCTCACAGGGTTGTTGTGTGGATAATATAGGAAGAGAGGAGAATAATGTAAGCTGCTTTGGTCCCCACTGTGGAGAATATGGGGTATAAATGTATTAATAAAGAATAAATATAGTTGAAGATGGGAGGCAGATAAAAGGTAGGTTGGTGAATGGCTGAGGAGAGAATGAAGCAGGGGGGGAGATTAGGAAACTCCTAGAAATTTGGGGGGCTGGGGGGTTTGAGGAGGGCAGGGACCTTAGAGGAATACAGTGCCATAGGCTCTATGCTCCAAAACAGCCATTTCCTTCATGGGAAGTTTGCCGACCTCCAGGTGGGGGCTGGAGATCATCCAGAATTACAGCTGATTTCCAGATGACAGAGATCAGTTCCCCAGGAGAAAATGGCTGCTTTGGAGGGTAGACTTTATGGTCTTTTCCCTGCTTTCCCCCAAACCTCACTCTCCCAAGGCTCCACCCTCAAATCTCCAGGATCTGGCAACCCTAAGTGGAACTGATCTCTGCAGTTGGGAGATTGGTTGTTGGCAACCATAGGAGAGAAGGAAGCAGGAAAAGGGGAGAGGCTATGGGGGCTTTCAGGAAAGGGAAAGAGAAACAGTGGTAGAGGGGGAAGTGAGATGCCTCCCACAAGTCCTTGCGAGTTCCCACTTGTACTAGTATATTTTGTATTTACACACGATGCATATGGGTTTTTCATCCATGAAAACGATCAGATCTGCCCCTGCTGAGCTTCAGCAATGCCACAGCTCAGATGCCTGCAGTTTTTTCACTGGACACACTGTTTTGTAACTCTAATAGAATGGGATGTCCTTTTGTTAAAAAAAATGTTTTTAAGTTTTTTGTTTTTACATACAAGATTTTTAAAAAATGTCTCCAGTCTCTGACATACTTAGAGAAAAATCAGTGAGTTAACAATAGATTATAGGCCATCAATTTCCTTTTAAGGCAATAACTAAATACTCAAATATTATCTGAAGAATATTATCTGAAGAAGTGAGCAGTGACTCATGAAAGCTCATACCCTGCCACATATTTTGTTAGTCTTTAAGATGCTACTGGACTCTTGCTCTTTTCTACTACCCAAATATTTAAAAAGTTTGGGTGAGATGAAAAAGTAAGGTGGCAAATGTTTTGATTAACAAATGTTTATTAAACAGTTTAAATTAAAAACAAAAATAAGGATGCACAGTTTGCTGGAAGCATCAGTGCTGGAATTCCTTTACGTAGCAAAAATGAGAAGAAACCAGTCTCACTATGTGTGGGGAGGGGGGAAGCAACTAGTGTTACATTTCGATACACCCTAAACTAACAAGTAGTTGGGGGATCTGCTAAAACAGTGTTCTCAGTAATCCACAATGATTTCCTTCTATCTCTTGTTTTTCCAAAAGTATTCCAGGTGGCCCACACAGATCTCTCCAAGACACTGATTGGCAGCTTTGTGGGAATAACGATTTTGCTTCTTCTGTGTATCATCTTCTTATTCTACAAATGTACAAAGGTCAGATTCATAAGCAGTAGGTCAATCTTCTTGTCCTGCAAAGAAATGGACAATTAGGAATCAGATTCATGACTTGCAAAGGAGGGAGAGGGAAATGGTGTGTTGCTGCTGTCATGACCCTGGAGAGAACAGGATGCTGTGAAGAGGCAGTACTGAATCCACATTTAACAGCAAAAGTATATAAGGATTCAAGCTACTGTGACACTCATAATCTCTAGCATTACTTTGTTAGCTTTCCTGCTCAGTAAGTATCGATTCTTGGCCTTTTTGCTAAGATCAAGTGTATTAGCTTTTCTGCTCTCCTTGTGTTCAAAGTTTTATTTAGTGTCGGATTTACCAATAGGCAGTCTACACACATGCCTGGGGGCTTTAGGGACTTAACAGTCTCTACCCAGATCAGCTTTAGGGGCTTCACAATCCCTAATCAGATTCTGTGTAAAATTCAGATGATGTGAATATGTTTAATGAAGAAATATTTCTAATAATAGTGCAGCACAGGAGAAGACCTTCCATGGCTTCAAAATGGCACCAGAATAACTCTCAGACTAAACTGGGAAGGAAAAACTTGACTGCATCAAACCAGTCCCCATATCTGTTTTTAAAAAACTCATACACAGATTGCTAAACTGAGAAGGGCCTCCTTCCTAGGGAGCAGACCAGGGACATTTTAGACTACAAGGGATGTTGATAACTGATACTAGCCTTGTAACAACAATGTATGCTTGATTTGTGGAATTCTTTTCTTCCTTTCAGAAACCAAAGTATGAAGTCCGCTGGAAGATCATTGAGTCCTCCAAAGGAAACAATTATATCTTTATTGATCCCACCCAGCTCCCATACAACGAGAAATGGGAGTTTCCCAGGAACAACTTGCAGTTTGGTGAGGGGCAATCATAGTGCACTTCTCTCTGATCCTAATGTGATTGTTTGCACTGATCACACTTATTTCCTGGTGATCAAAACTGAAATGACACAATCATTGTAGAATGGCATGCCTGAGTGTAGCACTCCAGCCCAAGTCCTACCCTCCATCTATTTGGGGCTTTTGGCACACATTTTATTCTTATTTAAATACCTGGGATTTTGCAAATTTAACAGTAAAATAAAATGAATAAAAATACCTACTTTCCTCCTGGCTGACAGCAGAAGATAAATATATCAGAAAAGACAAGCAGGTTTACAGGGATTGAAAAGTCACGGCTAGCAGCAATGGAAAAATAATAGGAAACCATGCAAGAAGCTCTTCTGGTTGGGCTTTTCCACACTGCAGGGGTGGAAAATGGTCAGTAAAATCAGCAAAAGTCAGTTTTTTCATCTTGGTCAGTAATTTGTCAGTTTTTTAAAAAAATTGGTCAGTAAAGTCAGTATTTTTTGGATTTTTGTGAATGCAGTTTGTGTTTTCCTGTTTTCGTTACTGCATTTTTGGGGAAACACGATGACTTCCCAGTGAGAAGATAGATTGTATTCAGTTTAGTTATGAAGTACTTTAAGGACTCTGTTCCTAAGAGTAAAAGTGATTTGGTGAAATCTTCCACAAAGTATAGAAACATAATTAACCTCTTAAAACATGAAACAATCAAAGTAGAGGTGATGGATATTGTGGGATTTAACATGACACACAGCTCATGCTAGAAGGAGTTGAGAAAGCAATGGAAGAAGACGACAAGGGGGGGGAATGTTTGTGGATGCTAGGGTTGCCAACTTGAAAATTCCTACCGGCGGGGGAGAGTCCTGGAGGTCCAGGAGCCGGTCCTGGATGCGCGCTTTGTTTTCCCCTCAAATGGCGCGACCCCGCCCCAGCGTCTGACGTCACTCCCT